CAGAGAGATGGGAAAGAGAAAGAGAGAGACAAGACAGAGACAGAGACGGAGGGGAGAGAGGAGAGAGAGAAACAGAAAGATAGAGAGAGCCACAGAAACAGAGGCAGAGAAAGACAGGGGGAAGAGAGGGAGAGACAGACAGAGAGAGAGAGAGAGAGAATATTTATTAAGTACACAGGCACTGTGCAATACAAATATGAGCAAACAAGATGGTTCCTACCCTCAAGGAGCTTACGTTCTAAAAGGAGAAGACAATACACAAAAGGGACCTGGAAAGGAAGAGGCTTCTGTCTAGGAGGTGGAGAAGTCCAGAGAGTGAGCTGAGCTGAGAGTGAAAATAGCATGGCCGGGGCCCCTCACAAAGTGGCAACCCTGGCTAGAGACTCGCCACTCAGGAGCATTCAGTTTCAGCTGTTCTGTTGTTCTTTGTGTATACATGGCGGTAGCCATGGTTAATATTTGTTTTCCTGGTTCTTCTTCGTTCATGGCGTATCAGTTCATGTGTGTCTTCCTACACTTCCCCGTATTCATCATAGACACTTTTTCTTACAGATCACTGACATTGCACCACAACTCATTTAGCCATCTCCCCAGTCAATGGATATCTACTTTGTTTCCAATGCTTTGCTACCACAAAAAGTACCACCATAAATATTTTGGTGTATGTGGAGCCTTTAAAAAAAAATTCATTGGCCTCTTTGGGGTATATTTCAGGAAGTCGAATTTCTTGGTGAAAGGTTACGGATGTTTTAATCACATTGTTTGCATAATAATAATGATGTGTAACATGGGGCAGCTAGATGGTACAATAGAGCATTAGGCCTCTATTTGGAGTCAGGAAGACTTGAGTTCAAATCGAGTCTCAGACACTTACTAGCTGTGTGACCCTGGGCATGTCACTTTACCTTTTTCTGCCTCAGTTTCCTCGACTGTAAAATAGGAATTATTATTATTATTAGCTCCTACCTTGTAGGGTTATTGTGAGGAGAAAGTGAAATAATATTTATAAAGTGCTTAGCGCAGTGCCTATACATAGTAGGTGCTTTATAAACGCTACGTATTATATTACTATTGTTGTTCAGTTGTTTTAGTTACGTCCAGCTCTTTGTGACCCCGTTTGGGGTTTTCTTGGCAAAGCTACTGGAGTGGTTTACCATTTCCTTCTCCAGCTCATTTGACAGACAAGGAAACTGAGGCAGGCAGGGTGAAGTGACTTGCCCAGGGTCACACAGGCCAGATTTGAACTCAGGTCTTTCTGACTCGAGACCCGGCACTGCACCTCGTAGCTGCCTTATATTACTATTATTATTTCCAATTTGCTCCCCAATGCCACTTCCAGTCTCTCTCACTACCACAATCACTCAGTAACCTGTCATCATTGAGATTCATTCAATCCATGTTTATGACCCAATCAAGATTCTGGTGGCTGTTGTCTACAGACCTCCGGACACTCTTCTTCCTTCTTCAGTGAGTTTGATGCCTGACTCATGGTCTTTCCTCCCCATCCCCTGCCCTTGTACTAGGGGATTTGATTTACATATTGATACTCCCTCAATCATCCTAACTTCCCAGTTCCTTAACCCATTCATTTCCCATGACCTAGGCCTCCACCCCACCTCTGCCACACGCAGAGACGTTCACAAATGTTCCAATTCCTTGTTCATGAAATCTGAAATTCCTTTACCTGATTACAATTTAAAAGATCATTAGATCTTTCCCTTTGTCTTTCAATGCTTAACTCGGTTATTTGTCCACCCTGGGACCTCCAATCCCTCCACCCCTCTTCACTGACTTCACTCCCCCCTGCTAACTATCATTCTATCTCTCTCCTTCCTTTCATGGGTAAATTCCTTGAAAAAATGATTGCCTCCCCTTGGTGCCTATACCCCATATTTTCTCACTCTCTTCTAAACCTTCTGCAAATCTGATTTCCAACCTCATTATTCAACTGAAACTTCTCTCTCCAAATAATTGTCCAATCTGATGGTCTTTTCTCATTGCTCCTGACTTCTCTGCAGCCTGTGATACTGTTGATGACCCTCTTCTCCTTGATACACTCCCCTGTCATTCTTGGTTCTCCTCCTATTTGCCTGACTCCCTATTTCTCAATCTCCTTTGCTGGATCTTCTTCCAGGTCAAACACACTAACTGTGGGTGTTCCCCAAGGCTCTGTCCTGGACTCTCTTTTCCATTGATGCTATTTTGAATGGTGATCTGATCAGCTCCCGTGTATTGTGTCATCATCTCTCATCAAGTGATTCTCAGATATTTTTATCCAGCCCTTACCTCTCTCCTGACCTCCACTCTCACATCTTCAACTGCCTTTGTATATCTCAAACTGGATGTCACATAGACATCTTAAACTCAACATGTTCAAAACTGAAATCATTATCTTTTCCCCAAAACCTTCCTCTCTTCCTAATTTCTCCATTATTAATGAGGGCATGACCATCCTCCCAGTCACCCAGGCTCACAAGCTAGCTGTCGTCCTTGACTCCTCACTTGTACTCACCTCCCATGTCCCATCCTGTCAATTCTACCTTAGTAACATCTCTCCTGAGGCAGCTAGGTGGTGCCATAGTGGATAGATGCCAGGCCTGGAGTCATGAAGACTAATCTTTCTGAGTTCAAATCCAGCCTTAGAAACTTACTAGCTGGGTGACCCTGGGCAAGTCGCTTCACCCTGTTTGCCTCAGTTTCCTCATCTGTAAACTGAGCTGGAGAAGGAAATGGCAAACCACTCCAGTGTCTCTGCCACGAGAACCCCAAATGGGATCACAAAGAGTCAGACACAATTGAACAACAACAAAGCATCTCTTTCATATACCATCTTCTGTCCTCAGACAACGCCATCATCCCGGCGCAGGTTCTCATCACCTCCATCCTGGACTACTGAAATAGCCTGCTGGTTGGTCTCCTTGACGACTCTAGTCTACCCTCCACTCAGCAGTCAAAAGGGCAGATCTGATTATATCTGATAGGATACCCTACCCTCACTCAATCACTTCCAGTGGCTCCCTATCACCGCCAGGATCAAATAGAAATCCTCTGGTTTTTTGGTCCTTCATAACCTGGCCCCTTTCCCACCTTTCCAATGTTCTTACCCCTTACTCACCTCCGGGCACTCTATGATCCAACGGGCATTGGCCTCCTGGCTATTCCTCCCACATACACACCACCCTTCATCTCCTCATTCGGAACCTTTTCTCTGCTTCTCCCCAACACCTGGAATGTTCTCCGTGCTCATCTTCACCCCCTGGCTCCCATCAAATCTCAGCTAAAATCCCACCTTCTACAGGAAGCCTTTCATGGTCTTCCTCTGAAATTCCCTCCAATTTACCATGTCTCTATTTTGTATGCTCATACAAATGCCTTTAGAATGTGACCTCCTTGAGGGCAGGACTGTCTTTTGCCTTTCGTTGTATCCCCAGTGCTTAGCACAGTGCCTGACATACAGTAGGTGCTTAATAAATGCAAGCTGACTTTCATCAGTGTAGGGAATTTCTAATGAAGGAACTCTCTCTACGTATGCATATTGGCACCTGCTCCGCAACTTTTACTTGTAAAGAGTTGCTTAGGGTACTGGGAAGTTAAGTGACTTGCCCAAAGTCACACAGGTAATTGGTGTTAGGGGCAGAACTTGAATCCAGGATTTTTGAGCTCAGGCTCAGCTCTCCATCCACTGTGCCACAGTTGCCTCTCAAGTCTTTGATTAAAATGTTTATCACCTCGGCGCCAAGCATAGATCCCTTGGTTACCCCACCAGAGACCTCCCTCCAGCCCATTAAGGAGTTTTCTTTGGGTTTGCTCATCTTTGGGATAATGCAGATGGGGATGCCCTCTGGGTTGTTAGAGATGCGTTTTAGTGTCCCAGGAGATCTGTCTACTCGGACAAGGGGTTTGCAGAATTCTAGATTTAGAGCTGGAAGGGTCCTCCAAAGTCATCTCGTCCAACACGCCCAACTCCACCCGCACTTCTGACTCCTTAGCCCAGCATTGTGGCAGTACGCTTGCGCTAAAGCCCTCTGGACTTCACTTCCCAGAATCCTTGGTTCTCAACCTCACCCACGTGGTTCACAGTTCTCTCTCTTCACCCCCCCCACCCCCCCCCCCCCCCCCCCCCCCGAGGCCTTGACAGCGCGAGGAGGATTCTGGGACTAGCCTGGACGGGCTCCTCTGGAACTGTTCGTGCGCAGGCGCGGCGGTGCAGGCTGCCAGAGAGAGCGCTGGACCACGGTGGCAGCGACCGAGGTGACGCTGGCGTGGAGCCCCGGGCCGGGGGGCGCCGCCCGCGGAGACAAGAGAGGTCTCCCTGCCCCGTCATCCCCATCCTCCCCGGTAGCCCCTCCAACCCCTGCCCCCCGCCCCGTGCTCCCTCATCTGTCCCGCGACAGACCCTCCCCATCCCTCCTTTTCTCCCCCATCTTCTTCATCCCTCTCCATCACCCCCATCCCACCCCATCACCCCCCTCCCTCACCTCCTCATCCCTCCCCATCACCCCCATCCCTCATCTCCCCATCCCTCTTCATCTCCCCATCCCTCCCCATCTCCCCCCTCCCTCCTCATCCCTCTTTATCTCTGTCTTCCCCATTAATGCCACCTCTTACTCCCTTTCTTTCTACCTCCCTACTCCAGACTTTCTCCCTGCTTCCCTTCCTCAAAAACTGCCCTCCTCTCACATTCTCTTTGCTCCCCAAACCATTTTAGGTTCAGTAATTCTGTATTTATGTGAGTGCGGGTCTTGGATCGTGGGAGGGCTGGTAGCTTGTGTGCTAATGCCCCTGAACCCCCTGGGAACTTGGACTGTCTGTAGAGTGCTGGACTTGGAACTGAGAAGAGCCGGGTTCAGAAATGAGGCCCGCTCTGACCCTCTGTGGCCTTCTGGGTACAACAGGGGAATAGCAAGCCCTGCAGCCAGGTCCAGTGAAATAATGTATGCAAAGTACTTTGCAGATTCTAAAGCTTTGTGTAAATGTTGGTTATCTTCTTGATGTGAGAAAAGGGTTGTGGTCTGAGGAAGAGTCAGTGTGTGACCTTTGAATCCAGAAGAGTCGTGGAACTATGTCTTCCCTGGACCCACATAAATGTGTGTTTTCGCCAGAACACATGCGCACGTGTCTTCATATATGAGTACTGCAGAAACTTTGTTGTTCAGTCATTTTTCAGTCATGTTGGACTCTTTGTGACCCCATTTGGGGTTTTCTTGGCAAAGATACTGGAGTGGTTTGCCATTTCCTTCTCCAGCTCATTTTACAGATGAGGAAACTGAGGCAAACCAGGTGAAGTAACTTGCCCAGGGTAACACAGCTAGTAAGTGTCTGAGGCCAGATTTAAACTCACAGAGATGAGTCTTCCTGACTCCAGGCCCAGTGCTCTGTCCACTGCACCGACTAGCTGCCCAGGGCCCCCTAGCTGGCTAGCAGAAGCTCTATGGGGGCTTAGCTAAGATCCCTGCCAAACTTCTGCCTGGCACTCATCCTGTGGATCTTTTATCTCTTTCAGGGTCTCTTGGCTACCTGTGCAGGGTTCTGGGGTACTCAAAGCCGCTGGATCCCTTCGTGTTAGCCTGTTTATCCCAGGGGATCCCAGGGAGTTGGGTCTCTCCCAAGCCAAGCTTCTACTCCAGAGAAGCTGCCTCAGAGCCTGGTCATGGCTATGCTCCTGACCCCACAGGAACCAGTCAGTCTTCTGAGAGTGAAGGTGGAAGAAGGTATTCCTGGGCATCCAGAATTCTTCCTGGGAGGAAACAGATCTGACCCTGGGCCCTCTGGGCAGTGTTTCAGAGCAGGACTCCGAGATGCATGTGAAAGAGCAGAGGCACCTATATCTGCAGTACCTGTGAGGATGGGCATCTGGGCGAAGGCCGCACAGCGTCCAGACCACAGTGAGTGCACTAGACTCTGGTGCCTGGGAGCATCTGGGAAGTGAGAGCTACTGGGAGGAGGGCTGGATGAGTGGGACACACAGCTGAGGAGGGAAAGGGCCTGGGCTCCATGACCCGAGCCCTAAGCATTTGTTAAAGCCCCTCCCCACCCCAGGAACTTACATTCTACCGGGGGAAGACGAACATGATATGTAAAACAGACACAAGGTATATTGGGGCTGGGGGGACAAAAGACCTCATAAGGGGCGCTATGATGCTTGGGCTAAGACTTGAAGGAAACAATCAGTAAACATTTGTTAAGCACCTACTATGTGCCAGGCACTGGACTAAGTGCTGGGGAT